GAAAGCATTGACAGTACTTTGGCAGTAAGAATTGGGAGTGAGAAGTGGGGTGGCTTGCTTTTTACACAAGCCTGATATTCTTTTTAAGTTTTAAACGTATTTTGTACTTTGATTTAAAAATTTAAAACATGAATAAAATGAAAAAAGCTACTTTTAAAAGCATTTTAAATTTGCCTCTTAGTCAAATTTCCCAGCAGGCTGGGATCCCTGCCCTCAGTGCAATTGGAAATAACCAAGACATTGGATTCCACACATTTCAGCACTCTGGAGCTTACAACCTAATATGAGTGCTTTCACCCGGAGCCAAAGCCAGAGGATGTGCACCCAGATCCTCCGTCTCCTGAGACCCCCTGACGACAGCGCAGGGAGAGAGCAGGAGGGGCGAGCTGGAAGTCGGTCTCTGGACTGGGCTGGTCTGAGACCGTCCACCCTCCATGGACCTGCCGCAAGTGATGCCGGAGAGGGCCAGCCTCGTCCCGGTCCACTCCTCGGCTTTCCTCCACTAGTCCCCTTCTCTTCCCTGGCTGGTTTGAGCTGGGTGCTGGGCTGCGTGCGGACCGCGGTGTAGCAACGGACTCCAGTGAAATGTTTTCTCGTCTGGTTCTTTCTGAGGACAGGCCAGGCGTCAGCAGAAATGGGGACAGGAGTTGCTTTCAAAATGAAAAAACATTTTTAAATGAGAGGAAAAAGCAAGTGCGGCCCATGGCTTTTCTTTCTGGTAGTGTAATAAGGTCGAGCTAAATGGCACCTTAATTCACCATCCTTCCTAGAAATCAGAACTGTAGTGGCTGCGTGGTGTGTCAGCAGGGCAGCAAGCACCACCCAGGTGTCTGCGTGTCGAGCCCCTGCAGCCTCCACGGAAACCAGCGCTTGTATCTGATACGTATGTACTTACGTACGTAGCAGGCAGAAGCCATTGTTCTGAAAGGGTTAAGTAGAAGCTCTAGGTGAGTTGCTTTTCCTGCCTTCAGCTCACTGTGGAGAGCTGATGTGGAGCCAAGCCGCTTGGCCTTTCCGTCCTCCTCCTGTTGGTCCTGCCATCTCACTGCCTCTGGGCACACTTCCAGGCTGGGGCAAGGGAGGGGAGAGCCCACATCTGGCCTGGAGCAATGATCCTCTTATAGTTCACTGTTTGTGAGACCTTTTAAAAATTGTTCTTACTTCACACATCAACTATTGACTTCTTCCAAAAAACTATCCCTTGCAAACTCTAGGCCCTAATGGTACCTGGTCCAGACAACCTCCTCCGCTCCCCCACACACGTCGACAAGGCAGGAATCAGGCTCGTGGGAGGGGAGCGGCTGGTGCCAGGGCAGCCAGTCAGGACCAGCACTGCCCCTGCGGCCTTGGGTTCTCTCTAGAGTTCCACAGCGCAGACCCCAGCCTCCTGAGAACCCTGTGGCCCTCCTTGGCTACTGCCGGGAAGTTGTAAAATTCAGTGTAGAAGATCCTTTGCCTCCTTGACCTGTTCACATTCTGATTGGCTGGGAACTAGAATTCTCTGAAGCTAAGGGCAATTTTAAGGGTGTAGCCCTGGTGGCCTTTCTTCTTTTGTTTTCCTTTTTCTTTTGTTTGCTTTTGTCTGACTGGAGGAGGCGGGTTGTTGACATGCCCTTGTGGGAAGCTGCTTGCCTTTGTGTGGCTGTGGGCTCTCTCTTTCACTGGGAGGTAGGACTTCTTAACAGCCTCCCTGATATTTGCTACCCCCTGTGTATTCTAGCCACTCAACACTGCCACAGCCTTGCCCTTGAGCCTCCACTGTGGGCCTGGGGAGGACAGTAGGCTGCTGCAGCCACACTTGCCCGGCAGAGCGGAAGCTTCCAGAACGCTTCTGTTTTTACCTCTTCAAGGAGAACAAGTTTGAAGCTCTAAAACTGATTAAATGAGAGACATTCTTCTTTGCATTTCAGCTTCAGGTTTTATTTTTAATGTGTTTTTACTCAACAAGAAAGAAGATGTTTTCCTCTGAAATTTTTTGCTAGCCAGGGATATCTATAAGAGTTAATTTCTATTTAAAGCTAAAAAATGTGTTTTCCAATTGGAAAATTATGATTTTTATTGCCAGTGTTGGAAAAATGGTTGTGTTCTCAGCAACTATATATTTAAGTGATGTACTGGCGAAACCAGCTTTTTGTGTTTCTGCGTAGAAGATGCACCGGGTGTGAGTGAGGGTCTGTGCTCTCGTTACTTTGAAGGAGAAGCCGGCACCGCTGCGTGGCGGTGACTCGGGTCTCTGACCTCACGCTTCTGCGTGCCGTTTGTCCTGTGAGGGGAGTGTTGCTGTTTGTCCTATGTTCTGGCAGCTAGTTTTTAAAAGAAAAGGGGTGCAGGGCGGGGTGCAGGTGGGAGCCCGGGCCATGTGCCATCCTGCCCCTGAGTGGGAGCCACACATGGAAATGGCATCGGTGCGGAAAGCCTGCTTTTGAGGCCTTTGTTTTGAACAAACTCTAGTGTCCTTTTTTCCTCTTTTCTAAGACTGAAACAGTGAAAAGTCATTAAGCTAGCAGGTGGCGGGCAGTAAGCGGGTGTACAAGGCAGTGTTGGTCTTCACATTCAATGGAGATGCCTCAGCCATTGGAAGTGGTAGTTCCTAAAACAGGACAGGAGCTCAGTTCTTTCCATGACGCTGCCCTCACCCATGGGAACCTGGTGAGTTTTGTGCACTGAGTTCTAAGAGCAGTCAATGGAGAACAAAGCCACAAAACATGGAAGGCAGCAAATAGGAGGCTGTGGGGTCAAAAGCCCACTCAGAGCTCCACTGAGGATAATGAAGATGTGGTTAGTCCTCAGCCGAGAGACCAGATACCAGGTGATCCTTTCTACCCAGTTATCCCACAGGTGCGGTACTGGACATTCGCAGGAAATCATCTGTGAGTGTCTACTTCAGACTGGATGCTAGTCAAGGGTCGGGGGAATCCAGAAGGAATGCTTAGACTACAATAAATACCCATTGTAAACGTTTGTGTCTAATATCCCCAATGCTTCACTTCAAACTGTCTTTTTTTTTTTTAATATGTTTTTATTGATTTCAGAGAGAGGAGGGGAGAGGGGGAGAGAGATAGAAACATCAGTGATGAAAGAGAATCATTGATCGGCTGCCTCCTGTATGCCCCCTATAGGGGATCGAGCCCACAAATCAGACATGTGCCCTGACTGGGAATCGAACCATGACCTCCTGGTTCATAGGTTGATGTTCAACCACTGAGCCACATCAGCCAAGCTGTTTTGTTTTTTTAATATTTAATCTCAATGTCATATTAAAGTTTGTGGTAGTAATATCGGCTTCCTGTGTCTTGAGAAATTTGATAGCTGTTTATTCTCTAGAGCAATGCAATACAGTACAGTAGCCAGTAACCACATGATTATTTAAATTAACTTTAATGAAATAAAATTAAAAACTCAGTTTCTTAATCAGACCGGTCACATTTCAAGTGCTCAGTAACATGACCAAAAGGGGGAATGTGTGGATGAAAAGGGGCACATGCTAACCTGACGAGCTCAGCAAGGCCTGCACAGTGGCCTTGCAAACTCAGAGACCTAAAGTGACCACAAAGGATGGTCTGAAATTAAAACTTTTAAATTAAAAAGTGGTCTATGGTGGGTAGTCATGTCCTAGGCCGGTATCTTCCCTGACAAAAGTCACTAACATGTGGCTGCAGGCTGCTGTGTGGAGCATGCTGAGAGGTGTTTTGCCTTCCGAGGTCACCCGGCTAGCGTCTTTCCCTCCGTGGGGAGAACTGGTGCTGTTGTTCTCTGCACTGCGGAAGTGCGTACTGTCGGACGTCTGGGCTAGAGGGACAAACAGCCAGATGAGTGCCTGTGCCTATGTCCACACTGTGGGTCACTAGAGCTGCTGGATTAGGGGCGGCTGTCGGAGCCAGGCTGGTGAGTCAGGCGCCTTTTGCACCTGTTGGTGGATGCGGAGTGATGTTAACGTTAACAGAATCGGCTTTAGAGACAGTGTGTCCTTCTAGCTGGGGCTTATGAGCTGGCAACCTTGCACAAGTCCCCTTAACTTTTCTGAACCCGTTTTCTCCTCTGTAGAATTGGAATGAAATACCTACTTCCTAGGTTTGTTATGAGAATCATATTAGGTAAAGAATCTGGAATAAGGAATATCAAATACTCCCTGGCTGGGTCGCTCAGTGGCTTAGAGCATTGTCTCGATAAGCCAAGGTTGCAGGCTCCATTCCCGGTCAGGATACATAAAGAATCGACCCATGAACCAGGAGGTCACAATTTGATTCCCGGTCAGGGCACATGCCCGGGTTGTGGGCTCTATCCCCAGTGGGGGATGTGCAGGAGGCAGCCGATCAGTGATTGTCTCTCATCATCGACTCCCTGGAATCAATAAAAACATACTATAAAATATTTTTTTAAATCAACCAATTAATGCATAAATAAGTGAACAACAAATCGATGTTTCTCTTTGTCCCTCTCTAACATCATTTTTTTTAAAAAAAAAAGAATATCAACTATTGAGTGTGGGATGTGTAGTAAGCATGTGCTTGATAGCAGTTGTTTGTATTCATATTATTAATAATGACATTTATTATTCTAGTTGATGTCAGTTCTCTTCTTGATGAGTGCTGAAACCTCTTTAATTATTTTTCTCCTTTATTTGCCCTATATCTACTTTCTTTTGTTTTCTTGTCTTTTGTCTTTTTTGGGAGAGGGGGGGAGCTTAGGGCCTTGGGTTACTGTTAGTGATATTTAAGGATTAAGAATTCCCTGTCCCCTAATTGCTATGATACAGTGAAGAATGGGGAATAATAGATATAAAAATGAAACCGAACCCTGTAAGGATTCACAGAAACACAGCACTGTTAACCAGTATTTCTGAGGAAGCTGGTATGGGTATATGGGCCCAGGGCCATGTGGAATAATTGGCCAATAGAAATGGGGTCCATGAACCCCCCTCATTTGTTGTAACTGTTACACAAACTGTCATGAGAGCCATGGCTAGAAGATCCCTGCTGATTCTATCTTTCCTTATGTAGCAACAAAGGAGAGAGCGTGAGGCTAGAAGGCAGCAAGAACGTGAGCAGCGAAGGAGAGAACAAGAAGAGAAGAGGCGGCTAGAGGAACTGGAGAGAAGGCGGAAAGAGGATGAGGAGCGGCGGCGGGCCGAGGAAGAGAAGAGGAGAGTCGAGAGAGAGCAGGTTAGTTCACAGGGATGTTCCCACCTGTGCTCGGGAGGTGTGTCACTTTGTAGAGTTGGGGTATTTAGGGCAGAACGTACACACACGTGTGGGTGCACATGTCCAGGACATTAGAGGGTCAGGATGCTGAAACAAATTAGAAGTAACCAGTAAACTGAGCCTATTGTCTTTTTTAAAAGACTTATACATTATTATACTTTAGGAACCTTGAAACCAGAAAAGTGGTCTACCGATAGTACGGTGGCTGAAAGATTTCTGAATATATCTTCTCAGGTTCAGCTTAAATGCTTCAGACCTAACACTTTAAAAATGGTATTAAAAGTCAATTGTAAGAAATTTCTTATGAGCAATATTTGAAGTAACCACTGGCTAACCGAATATTTAATACTAGATGCCCGGTGCACAGATTTGTGCACTGGTGGGGGGGGGGGTCTCTCAGCCTGGCCTGTGAGGATCGGGCCGAAACCAGCAGTCCACAATCCCCGAGGGGTCCTGGATTGCGAGAGGGCACAGGCCAAGCCGAGGGACCCCACAGGTGCACAAATCCACGCACCGGGCCTCTACTATGCGTATAAGATTTTTGGTTAATCTCTTCCCGCCCTCCCCCCTTCCCCTTCCCTCTGAGATTCATCAGTCTGTTCCATGTTTCCATGCCTGTGCGTTGAGCGTCTGCTCCCTGGTGGTCAGTGCGTGTCATACGCCTCGGGTTTTCTGAGACTCGGTCTGCCTGCTCATTGCCAGTGTTCCTAGGAATTCGAGTGACGTTTTTTATGTTACCTTCCTGACATGGTGGGCCAATTAACTGGTGTGTTTTGTTTTGTTTTTCTCACATTTCAATTTATACTTGGGGACTGCAAAGAAGACATAACATGCACTACATGCTTTTAAAAATTAAATCACAATTTAATCCTCACAATTCAGTTGTGATAAGATGATATGAAACTGATACTTAGCCTTTATTGTTCTAGTGACAGGCATTAGCTATTGTGTATAGTAAGCATTGTTCACCTCTTTAAAAAAGTAACATCAAAACAAACTAAATAACATCAAAAGTCAGTTTTATTCGGCTTTCCTCATTCTGTTGCAGAATTCCCATGGGAACAGTGCTGAGGGAACACCCCTTCTGCATAAGTGTGCCTGTGTGTGTGCCTGTGTGACTGCCCTGTGTTCGTGGACTAGGCCCTGTGACTTGGATAGATGTGCATTTTCCAGGTGCCCCTGTGTTTTGAAGGCAGAAAACAAATGAGTGGGCTACTTGATCCTTTAGTTCAGGGGTCCTCAAACTTTTTAAACAGGGGGCCAGTTCACTGTCCCTCAGACCGTTGGAGGGCCGGACTATAGTTTAAAAAAGAAAACTATGAACAAATTCCTATGCACACTGCACATATCTTATTTTGAAGTAAAAAAATAAAACGGGAACAAATACAATATTTGTATTTGCATGTGGCCCGTGGGCCGTAGTTTGAGGACCCCTGCTTTAGCTTATGGCTTAATTCTGTCTAGTCCAGAGAAGAGGGGGTGGGCGGGGTCCTTCCTCGGTCACTCTGGGAGGCGTGCGTGCTCGGCCCTTCCTTCGTGGAGCCTGGGTTGGAGTCAGGGTGTGTTAGCCACTGGTCTGTGAATATGCTTTCTGCCAGACTGGCTTTTTTTATTGTTTTTTTGGCTAAATTTTCTTTTTAAGATGAACATTTCTCAGGAAATTTACATGTCGTGATTTCTGTTACCCAGCCTTCTCGCAATTAGATTTATTGGTTAGCCACAACTTCACTTCAGGTACCTCAGGGGTGCAGCTTGGGATAAGTGGGTTATCAGCAGTGGACTCTGTAAAGAAGTATCTGAAATTCAGAGTGAAGGCTGCCCTCAGGGACCCCTTTAGCCTACTCCCCTTTCGAGTAGTTAGCTTTCTTCCCCATTGAAAAGGAAGGACACCTGTTTTTTGTACAAACTTTGTTCTTTCTGAGGTTATCTGTAACTCATGTCTGTAACTCATATTTGAGCCTCACAGAGCCATCCTGAGAGTGGGGAGGGAAGGCCCTGAAGTCATTTCTCAGATGTGGAGCCTGCCAGCCTGGGAGGGCTTGCTTGGTCCACAGCGAGGGCCTCTGGTTCCCCAGCCATTAAGTATGCGTGGAGACTCCAGGCTGGCGTTTTCCTCTTTATATACATATGTTGGATGTGTTTGCCCATTTTCATTCTTCATCCTTCTCTTTCCATTGGAAAAGCCACTCCCCTCTCCTTTCTCTCTCAGGGACACCCAGGGCCCCTCCTTGTGAAGAACCTGGGCCTGTTCGTTGGTGGAAAGTCGCCTGAGTCTGACGTGTCCAGACTTTCAGAATGTAGTTATTCTAGGTGCCTTATGTATCTATCACCAGCAAAAACACAAATCCTGCTTGTTGTATTTTAATATTAAACAAGTTTTGGTTTGGGGTTTTAAAAATTGGCAACCCATGCTTGGTCTAAATAATGACTAAGAAGCAGACTTTTATTAATGAGAACACTTTGGTTTCCTAAAATTAAACTGCCGACTTCAGAGTCTGCCATCCCAAAGGAACCTCGCAGCCCTTTAAAGCCTGCATTTGTGTATGACAGACGCACTTCCAGGCACCTCGTGTAGACTGGTGGAGTGCATGCCATCATCTGTTAAACTCTGAAGGTCTTGGTGGCCAGTTTTTGAAGTTCTTGGGAAAATTCTGAGCAATGGATTTTGTTGAGACTCATGACTAAGTGAACTACCCCCCAGGACGACGGGCCGATGGTGGGTGCACTCCCGTCAGGGTCCTGATCTCTCTGTGTGGGTCCATTGATTGCTGGGTAATTTCTGTGTGACAGGAGTATATCAGGCGGCAGCTCGAAGAGGAGCAGCGGCACCTGGAAATGCTTCAGCAGCAGCTGCTCCAGGAGCAGGCCCTGTTACTGGTAACGCCCGCGTCTGTCTGTCTGTAGTGCCAGGGCGCGTCTGTCCTCCCCGAGCGGGCACAGCTGTGCGCCACCAGACCGTTCTGGGTAGTGCTGGGGCTGGCAGGCTCCAGTGGAGACACCTCCGTGGTCCTACTGCTTGAGACACATCTCCAGGTGGCTTTTATTTACCTACTGACTTCCCACTGAGAACTGTTCTTGTTCGGTAGATAGACAAGGCTTTGAACAGAAGTTGGCATTCAGTGAGCAAACAAGAACGCTCAGGGTTGATGGTTGAAAGCGCTTGCGTAGGACTTCACCTAGTTTACTCTGGGTTCCTTTTGAAACCACTGCTACTGACGTTTAATTGAATTCTCTCTTACTCTGTCCAGTGATATTGTTAGCAACAAGCTGTCAGATTTTCCACAGGTAATATGCTGTTTAAAACCCCAGCATTTTACTTTGTTACAAAGCATGGGGTGGGTGGGGGGGGGAGATAGCATGGTCATTGGAGAGTTGAGAATGAATTGGAGAAGAGGCGAGCCCTCCAGTGTCCCCTAGATTCAATGTTCTCCTCTCCCTCCCCAAGGAGTGCCGCTGGCGGGAGCTGGAGCAGCACCGGCAGGCAGAGAGGCTCCAGAGGCAGTTGCAACAAGAACAAGCATATCTCCTGTCTCTACAGCACGACCACCGGAGGCCGCACCCACAGCCGCCGCCGCAGGAAAGGAGCAAGCCCAGCTACCACGCCCCGGAGCCCAGGCCCCACTACGAGCCGGCCGACAGAGCGCGAGAGGTACCGCTCCCCTGCATCGTCCCCTGCTGTCTCCTGCATCGCGCAGGCAGACAGGAGTCCGTGTGGGTTCCTGTAAGGTATTCGTGCTAGACGTGCCCTCAGCTGATGGCCCACCCCCTCGGGTCTCCAGCGGAGAAACAGGTCCTGAGAAGTGAGGGGCTGACTCGCAGGGCTTCTTACCCAGTTCAGCGTGTTCTCCATGGAGGACCAGGGTGCCTTTGGTACCAATTCTCCGATGAACTGAACACTGAACTAAACACAAGGGGGAAGGTTGTCTGGCAGAATCATTCTTTAAGATGCAAACGAGGGAGTGGTGGCTGGTTAACTGTTTTCCAAAACGGAGATGAGGAGAAGTGTGTCACAGCCGACTTCCTGACTGTTCAGTGATCCTGACTTGGTACCAAATTGCTGCCTCTGGGAGAGCCTCCCGGTGAGTGTGGCACAGGTGGCCTGGGCTCCTGGGACGAGGGAGCCTGTCAGCCTCCCGTGCCCCTGGCCCCCGAGAGCCCGGGGAACACGTGTGCTGGAATGCCCTTTTTGCAGGGCATTTGAATGAAATGTGTTTTGGATCCCTGGTGGCAATCTTTTCATTTGTTGGTTTAGTTGGTTGTGACACATTTAATGTTTTCTGGTTTATCATCCTCATGTACAACCCTAGAACTCCTGCCAGGAGGAGGTCTCAAGGTGCCTCTTCTAACTGGTTCTCTTAAGTATTTCTTTGTCTGGAGTCCAACCCTGGACCTGCTCTATTTGCCTCCTCCCTTTTAAGCTCTCCCTTTCTTTCCTTGTAGTTGAAGTAAATAGAAAATTTCTCTTCACAGTCCGCCCACTGCCAGGCTTTCTCTGGTACCTGCTTTCCCCACTAACACTGTGTTATGTCTTCTAATTCTCCGATGCAGGTGGAAGATAGATTTAGGAAAACTAACCACAGCTCCCCTGAAGCCCAGGCTAAGCAGACAGGCAGAGTGCTGGAGCCGCCAGTGCCTTGCAGATCAGAGTCCTTTTCCAGTGGCAGCGCCGAGCCTGTGCACCCCGCCCTGCAGACACCAGCTGAGCCCCAGGTGCGGCAGCCAGGCTGCGGGTCGGGCACGTGGGGCTCAGAGCACGGGCCTGCTGGTAGTAATCACATTTTGGTGTGTTCCCACATTGAGAGAGAGAAGAGAAGAGCAGGAGTGAGTTTAGACTGAAGAGGACAGACCCTCTTTTGATAGGGAAAAGTAGGAAGTGTTTTAAGATTTTTGTTGTACTTACTAAGCATATCCAGATTCGGTGATTTTTTTCTCTTAGTCTAGCATTCTGTCAGATGTTCATGAATAAGTGTTTTCTTATTCTAACATAAAGGATTTTTTCAGTTTAGTTTTTAGAAAGTTAGTGTTACAAGTACATAAGGGGTGAACCAGACCTTTTCTTAGCCAGACCTTGGCACCTGGCTAGCCCAGGAGGGGGCATCAGAGAGCCAGCACTGCCCTGAAATTCCAGTACAAGTTTTGGGTCTGTCCAAATGTGCATGCTTTTTTGTTTTGTTTTGTTTTTTTCTGGGAAACGAGCCTTTTATCAGATTCTCAAAAGGTTCAAGATCCTAAAAAAGTTACAATCCAATAGGTGAGGTGTGGCTTTCCCTGAAGCAGGTGGGGTCAAGGTCACAAGCGCTCACGGGTTGCCACGGGGCTGGTGTGGGAGAGCCTGAGCTGAGTACGGTGGGCCAGAGAGCCGCTGCTGTCTGGGGAGAACGTGGACGGCAGAGGGTACCACGCAGAGGTCTTAGGTTCCCACTGCTGCCACGTTCTCGCTGAAACAGCAGACTTTTAGTCATTTTGCCCTGCAGCTGTGCAACGCAGAATATTGGAAGCAAGTTCTGAGGCCTAGGTTCACTGAGGTTTGCATGTGTTGGGGGCAGAATCCACGTTCTTGTGAGAGAAGTAGCTGTGGTGCTTTGAACGAGGATTTGAATGTGCTTCACAGGAACGAAGGCCCGTGTGAGGAGTTTAAGGAGCACAGAGCCAGGCTCTGGCCCTCGGGGGCCATGGGAGGCGTCCCATGGAGTCAGCCGCTCGTGCTTCACGGGAGAGCTGGCCCACCAGCCGATCCCAGTTCCGAGTAAGGGATGGAAAGACAAAGGAGACAGAGGGCAGGACAGGGTGAATGGGGGAAAGGAGAAGGGGTTGGGAGGAGGGACTAGTAGAATCAGTTTGACGACGTTCCTGTGGAGAGGCCAGGATTAGTTTTTAATCTGAAAATTAGCCCTGCCATGAATAGAAAACCTTCACCTATTTGGCCACCGACAGTTTAGGAACTAGGCGTTCCTGAGTTCCGCAGGCTGCCTTCCGTGCTGATGGCTCCTTCCTGTGGTGCCTGGCGGGGCCCCTGGCTGCTCCTCCTGGGAAGGCTGCTCTGGCTGCAGCAGGCACCTGTGAACACGTCCTCTCTGGGGAGTTTCCAGGGAGGGCCCTATGCTAAAGCCATGTGTTGAACGTTGTAGTTACAGATAACACTTTCAGATCCACACTTTTCCAGACTCTGAACAGTTTACATGTTCTAGGCATCTGAGATTATACCAATCACTAGCTCTGTGACTCGAAACTAGAACTCACAGACCTGGAACTAATTTTGAATCTTGCTTTTGGGAAGGTTGAATCAGTTGTGATTTGGCATTTCCAGTTTTCATTAAATGCATTGATGTAATAGATATATAGCTGGAGTTATGTAAATTGCAATATTAAACATTTTAAAACAAAATAAATTAAAGAAAATACAGATTATTTCAGAGATTGTTTGTCCAATTTAAAAGCAACCAGATAAAAACCCAGTTAACAAGTATTGTCATGTAGAAGGTCAATTTAGGGAATCATAGTAATGAATATTTCTAAAGAAATTAAAGTTCTTTTTTCCTAACTAGTGTGAAGATGTATGGAGATCTAGGGTTTGAGTGTTTAAGACTTGGAAGAAGAAAGAAGGATAATGTTGGTGTAGTTGGAAAGTGGGCTGTTTTTAAGTCACTGTATTATAATTTGTCAGGACCTGAGGGCTTTGTGTCTGCTCACTCAGTGTGCTGTTTCACTGCTGCTGGTCAGAGGGCGGGCCCTGGGGAGCAGGCGGGCAGGCAGGTGTGTCGCCCGCTGCCTCCAGGCTCTGCTCGGACATGGACATGCAGGAGCACGTGTCCCCCATCAGGACAGGAGGCAATAAGCCTTTTTTAAATTTTAAATCTTCACGTTTGCTGCTCTTGTAATGTTTATCTGGACATTGAAAGAGTTTTCCTCCTAAGTGTACATTTGTTTTCCTGTCCATACTGTGTCCCAGGTCCCTATTCACTTTAGCCTGAGCTGCTTGCTGCCGGGCTTACCTAACCCCAGAGCACCAGCTGCTTTCCCCAGTTCCTGCTTTGAATTTGGAATTGACCAGAAAGCCTTTTATGCAGAACGCATTGAATGTCTTGTGTTTTGTTTTCTTGTAAGGTACAGTGGTCCCACCTGGCATCTCTCAAGAACAATGTTTCCCCTGTCTCGCGATCCCATTCCTTCAGTGACCCTTCTCCTCCCAAATTTGCACACCACCATCTTCGCTCTCAGGACCCATGTCCACCTTCCCGCAGTGAGGCGCTCAGTCAGAGTTCTGACTCTAAGTCGGAGGCGCCTGACCCCACCCAAAAGGCTTGGTCTAGATCAGACAGTGACGAGGTGCCTCCAAGGGTAAGAAGCAGACAGACAGATGTGTGCTGCTTTTTCCTTTTTGTTGTTTTTTAAAAATTACTTATTTCAATTAAGGGTATGGTGACTTCACCAGAATTACGGGGCCATGAAATTTCAAAGGAACTTTTTACAGTGGGGAGAAAGCTCCACAGTTCGGCAGTTACGTCCAGCCAGTGCTAGCTGTTCATTGTTGTTGTTAACTCTATCTAAACACTGGGTGACAAAGTAACCAAAGAGCATGCTTCTAGAACAGGTAGAATAGCTTCTATTTTAGCAGTTGTCTTAAGTTTATACAGAAGTTACAGATTATTTTTCGACATTAACCATTATCCAAATTTTCAGAAAAGGTCTTGTAAAGAAAAATCATTAACAAAAATTTCAAAAAGGAGACATTTTTCTTTTTAAATTGAGGAATTTTTTGGCTTTGTTTTGCTTTCAACTTTTTTTAATTTTTAATTTTTTTGATAATTACTTAATGGTGAAATTAAACATAAAGGCACATTTAATTTTTCTTCCATTTAGAATTTGCTTCCTCTGAATATTTTCTTGCTTCCTACCAGTCTTTTGTTTCCTACTGATCCATTTGTGGACATTGTTTGGTTTCTTTGAGCTTATTTTCCTGATTCTCACATTTTCTTAGCAAAATGCTTTGTATGTCCCCGCCAGCAGACGGCTGCAGAGGCACCGGCTGTGGTCCCTCGCCTTCGCTGCCTGGACTACGTTTTCTCTTCCGTGTGTCACTGGAGGCCGAGCGGGCAGGGTGGGGGCAGGGCAGTGACAGTGAGGCTACCAGAATTAGGACTGCTGTAGAAAAAGTTTTCTCTCATATTTTCAAGAACTTGATTGCTGTGTCTTCTACCCAAAGGTTCCTGTGAGAACAACGTCTCGGTCCCCTGTGCTGTCCCGTCGGGACTCCCCGCTGCAGGGCAGTGGGCAGCAGAATAGCCAGGCTGGGCAAAGAAACTCCACCAGGTAAAAGAGGGCGGAGCTTAAGAGCAGGCTTTCGCACAGTCGCCTTCAGTCTTTTGTCATCTTTTTTCATTAAAATGCCCATAAACAGAGAAGTTCTGTGGCAAAGAGGAGATTATCAGTTTATGAAAGAAAAACTGCATAAACTGTATTAACCGCCCGTCTGTGAGGGTGAGTGCAGAGCAGTGGGGGAGGCCCGAGAGCATGGGCCTGGGGGTTTCCTGGGCCATGGGAATACGAACATGACAAGCAGCACTAAAGAACGTCCTGGTTGGCTTACAGTCACAGTAAACCAGTGAACTAACCAAATACTGTTGTCAGTGTAAAGCTCTTCTGTCCTGTGAACAGCTCTTAGCTGCATGAGGCTAGTGGCTGCTAGATTATACGGCTAAATTCGAGCGTAACTTCATTAAAATTAAATAAGAGTAAAACTTGATTTTCTTGGTAACACTGGCTGTGTGTCGAGTGTCCAGTAGCCACAGCTCAGCTGTGGGGACCCCACCACCTCTGGGCTGGAGCAGGAAGAGGCCACGCTGCTGGGTGTTTGTCCTCGCCCCTTACTGAGCCTCAGGTCCTCTGTGCTGGAGGTGGGGCTCTCCAGGAGCCGCAGAGCCGCCTGGTCCTTGGTGAGCAGGTGGTTGGGCTCTCCTGGGACCGAGTGTCCTCCGGGCCCTGGAGCCCCTGCCTCTGCCAGGCCCGGCCGGTCACATCCGCCCGCACTCCCAGTCACAGCCACACAGAGGAGGACGCTGGGTAGTGTCAGCTCTTGAGACCAGTGTGGTCGGCTGGGAGCAGCAGCCCGGAAACAGTATAATTTTGTGCACAATTTGTATAAGTGGATTTTTTATAATGTTGCTATGACAGAAATGGTGACACTTCTAGACCCAACAATAGCATTAGCTTTGCCTAATGAAGATTCGGGGTCTGCTAATGGTAGGATATCATTTACCTATTTGGTTTGTTGGGGTACCTGAGATAAAAACCATGAATAACGTTCGAGCTTCCTGTGTGTAGGCTTTCTCATCATACCTGTGCTTCATGCGTGCGCAGACAGCTCGATGCTGCATCTCGGGTGATGCATGAGCTGTTCTCTCCCTTTCTTTTCCGACAGTAGCATCGAGCCCCGGCTGCTGTGGGAGAGAGTGGAGAAGCTGGCACCCAGGCCCGGCAGCGGAAGCTCTTCGGGATCCAGCAACTCGGGATCCCAGCCCGGCTCGCACCCTGGCTCTCAGAGCGGCTCTGGGGAGCGCTTCCGAGTGAGATGTAGGCTGCCTTTCTGTGTCTCCCCCGCCCCCCGTTAGCGACACTGGGCTCTGAGTAGTGCACTGAAGGCCTCCCAGCCACGGGAGCTGCCTGGTGTTTGTACAGTGCACGTCACAGCTTAGGCTGTGATGGCACTGGTAGCCACCATAATCTTACTAAGACAGCTGACTTCCGAGAGCTTACACGTGCCTCGCACTTCACCTGTGTTGTCTCATTTCATCTTCATCATAACCTCATGAGATACACTTACTGTGTCTCCACTTTACAGACTACAGTAACCAGTTCAGTGAGATTGATTAGCTAAATGTCTGAGCTGAGATTTGAACCTACTTCTTTTACTACAGACTCCATCAGTATCGGCATTAACATTGGCTATTTAAACCTACTCATAATAATAGGTTATGGTATTGACATGGCAAGGTTCTGTGAGGACGTGTTACGTAGAGTGTGGTGACGATGGAGTCTGGGTAGGAGTCAGAAGCCCAGGAGTGCAGACCGGCGTGCGGAGACCCTGCACAGAGGCTGAGAGCAGTGGGCAGGGGTGAGGGGGAGAAGCAAAGGCTAATGGGCCAGTCTGCCTTGTAGCACCATCTGGATGCTTGTATGTATCTGCCTTTCTTGTCTCTTGAATTTCACAGCATCATCCAAATCTGAAGGCTCTCCGTCTCAGCGCCTTGAAAATGCAGCGAAAAAACCTGAAGACAAAAGAGAAGTGTTCAGACCTCTGAAACCTGCGGTAAGGCTTGCACAGCCCCGTGCTCCCTCCGGGCGTGGGGAGATCTTCCTGCTGCGAGCATGTCTTTGAGGGCACGCCTTTCTGTGCGCCCTCACAGAAGTGAGGGCTTAGAATGAAGGCCACAGCCCTCAGACACATTTATGCCCCTCCCAACTTAGTCACTAAGAAAAATACAGAAGAAAGAAAGCCTTTATCTCTTTGCTTTGCATTAGCCTCTATGCATTCTAGATGAGCTGGGTGTTGTAATAGTGGCTTTAGAATCTTTCCCATCACCTTTTAACATCACCTGTTATTTAAGTTCCGCCTTTTGGTACCTAGAGAGGCAGCTGTGAGTTTCCCATGCTCCTCCTGTAACCCCTGCCGCACTAACCGACCCTGTCTCTGCACACTTTGCGGACTTGTGCATCTGTTGGAACTGTGATTTCTTGCTTGATGAGTCTGTGCTCCGTCTTCCTCTCTCCGTGCTCCCGGTGCTGTGCTCCTGCCCCGCCGACGGCATGCTGCCGGACGCAGAGTGAAGTGGTAAGCAGCTCTGGAAATGCCGGAGCCATTCTAACTGAATTTCACACGCAGCTTGTCCTCCATCTGCATTGCTTTTCCTTCCTTGGTTTGTCTTTTGTTCTTTTCTAGAATGATAAAGCCCTAATCTTTTGCTTCATCTTTTTAACACACAAAATTTGCTGCATGCATTTTTTGTTATTAAGTATAGCTTAAAAAAAACTTTTTAAAAAGCCACAACTGTATTCATGCAATGGTTAGCAAGGCTCAAGGTTCATACTTGGTCACTGTGATTTCAGAGGCTCAGGCTCAGGCTCAAAGAAAGGAAACATGCTCCTCACTGGGGAGAAGAAAACTCTGGTGGAACTGCTGGGGGAAAGGCTGCAAGGCCTGCTTTATAAAAAGTCATTGTTTTAAAGTAAAATTCCCAAGTAGAAAGATAAACTTTAGACTTCTGTATGAAAAGTGGACTAAGAATAATAGTCGCGCTTGGGAATTATATTTGGACTAGAGGCCCAGTGCACGGATTCGTGCACAGGTGGGGTCCCTCAGCCGAAACCTGCTCTCTGACATCCCCCAAGGGGTCCCAGGTTGCGAGAGGGCGGTTCTCGGGTGACGTACCACGGAATCAGGCTCCTTCCTCTCTGGTTCCGAGTGCATCACCCAAGAACTGCAGCTGCCAAGTCACCACAGCTCGGCAGCTCCTGTGCTGAGCACCTGCCTGCTGGTGGTCAGTGCACATCAGAGCTACCGGTCAGCAGGTTGCTTAGGCTTTTATAGATAGATAGATAGATAGATAGATAGATAGATAGATAATTGATTGAGTCTTAAATATCTCAGTGTAGAGTAGAAAAGGGAAACTTTCCTGTGATTTCTTTTCTCTGATGTTCATATTCACTGGCACCATTGCAAGGTGATAATTTGAAGATTTGGGGTAAGGCAGGGACAGATGGATATTCTCCGTGAAAGAAGACTTTGTGCCTGGTCGGCATGGCTCAGTATTTGAGCTTCCACCTGTGATCCAGGAGGTCCTGGTTTGATTCCTGGTCAGGGCACATGCCTGGGTTGTGGGCTCGATCCCCAGTGTGGGGCATGCAGGAGACAGCTGATCAATAATTCTCATCATTGATGTTTCTCTCTCTCTCCCTCTTCCCTTCCTCTCTGAAATCAATAAAAATATATTTTTTAAAGAAGACTCTGTTACATAGGCAGGTATCTTTATAACAAGTTCCAAGGATCTGTCTACATACATTTTTTTATCTAGATTCTAGAATTTTGTATAGTTGAAAAAATGCTATCAGCTTATCATAAGCAGGTTCTTGTGGGTTTTTTGGTGTGAGATTTGGACTGTTTGACTGTTGTGTCTTTTTTGTCAGAGATCTCACCTTCATATACTGGTAAATGCTCGACCACACAGTTTTCCAAAACTGAGGTTGTGGCTTTTACTAATGGAGAAAGTGAAGAATGTCTCATTCCTTGCTGCTCTCTCCTCTCCCCGCTCCTGGCTCACTCTTTTCTGTCCCCGCATTAGGACTTGACTGCACTGGCCAAAGAGCTGCGAGCAGTGGAGGACGTGCGGCCACCGCACAAGGTGACAGACTACTCCTCGTCCAGTGAGGAGTCGGGGACGACGGACGAGGAAGACGATGATGCAGAGCAAGAAGGGCCCGGGGAACCCATGTCCGGACCGGAGGACACCAGAGCAGCGTCAGTCCTGGGTGTATTGTAGACGGCAGAGCCCCCACCGAGTCTGTCTGCCCTGGGGACAGGTGGTTCCCTGACCTGTCTTGAGACCTCGAGCGTATAGCGCAGTCGGCCGCCAGTGTGCGTGCATGCCAGTGCCTCTCCCCAGTTCCCCCTGTGTAGTTCCTTTTTTCTTTTTAATTTGAAAGTCCCATAGAAGGGAAATTTCTGATTGCTTTAACTACTTTAACCATAAGCATTCATTCTGATCTTTTTGCTCAAAAACAAACTGTGCCAGCATGAATTTGTTTGTTGAAGGGAAAGTGCTAAGTATTTGTTTTCCTTAAGGAAATGGTCTATGTGTAGCCTGATCTTCTAATGACCTTGAGAAGGTGAGAAGTGTAGACACAATATCCTCAATTGATGGTAATTCATGGTCCTTCACCTCTGGATGTTTCTCAGTAGGTCGTCTCTGAATTTGAGCAATGGGGAAACAGAATCCGTGAGAACCATGATTGTCCATGACGATGTGGAGAGTGAGCCAGCCATGACCCCGTCCAAGGAGGGCACGCTGATTGTCCGCCAGGTACCCATGTCTCCACACACTTGTCAGGCTGAGCTTCTCCTGAGTCATTAACCCACTTGCTCATCCACTCCTCATGCTGTTTCTACATCATCATCTGTTTTCATGTTAACAAGACCTGAGGGCGGAGTGTCTGGGCCAGGGCGGCAGGTGTGAGCTGCACGCCAGGAGCGGGGCTGGCGGCACCCCTGCATTGCTGCCTCTGCACGCCCCCAGCAGCCTCAGCGCCAGGCGGAGCCTGTCTGTCTAGAGTAGGAAAGCCACAGGCGGCCTTCAGGAGGCTGCAAGCCAGGGCTGTGCAGGGGCCCTGCAGAGAGCTGTGAGCCGAGCCAGGCAGGAGGGCCCGTGCAGCAGCAGGCGGAGGTCGCTCTTGTGTGTCCCAAAATGCTCGCTTCCTTCCCGCCGACCATTAATGTTCCTGCCCAGACGCGCTCAGTTGGGTGACCACCCTACAGCTGTCTGTCCATTGCTTAGCTGAGCTGTGAGGACAGGTGTCTGCTTCTCCTTTAAATAGAACAGGCGCCCGCCCAACACGTTGACTTTTCCCTGAGTGTGTCTCATGCTGTGGCAGTGCATTCGGGTGAAAAGGGAGAAGAACGTGGAAAAGACCAGGATTCAAAGAAGCGACAGGCACTTTCTAGAGCAGGGGTCCTCAAACTACGTCCCGCGGGCCACATGCAAATACAAATATTGTGTTTGTTCCCGTTTTGTTTTTTTACTTCAAAATAAGATATGTGCAGTGTGCATAGGAATTTGTTCATAGTTTTTTTTAAAATTATAGTCCGGCCCTCCAACGGTCTGAGGGACAGTGAACTGGCCCCCTGTTTAAAAAGTTTGAGGACCCCTGTCCTAGAGCTTTAGACAGAAAGATTTAAAAAGAAAAACCGCTGCTTGTGGTTTTGGTGACGGCAGCTAGAGTGGCAGGCAGAGCAGATGGGCGCCTCTCGGTGCCGCCGCGGCGGGTGCCTCCGTGCTGCTGGCCCTGCGTGGGCGCCAGCAGGGAGGTGGGCAGCAGCCGCCCCCCGCTTCTCCATGGAGAGGAGCCGTCAGGAGTCACACAGACCTGAGCAGAGGCAGTTGTCAGGGGCGTAGGCAGCTCCAGCGGCGCCTGAGCGAGACAAGTGTGCCTGTTTTTTCTACAGAGTACAGTTGACCAAAGCGGGTGCCTCCGTGCTGCTGGCCCTGCGTGGGCGCCAGCAGGGAGGTGGGCAGCAGCCGCCCCCCGCTTCTCCATGGAGAGGAGCCGTCAGGAGTCACACAGACCTGAGCAGAGGCAGTTGTCAGGGGCGTAGGCAGCTCCAGCGGCGCCTGAGCGAGACAAGTGTGCCTGTTTTTTCTACAGAGTACAGTTGACCAAAAGCGAGCCAGCCATCATGAGAGCAATGGCTTTGCCGGGCGCATTCACCTCTTGCCAGATCTCTTACAGCAAAGCCATTCCTCCTCCACTTCCTCCACCTCCTCCTCCCCATCTTCCAGCCAGCCGACACCCACCATGTCCCCACAGACACCCCAGGACAAGCTCACTGCTAATGAGGTAGGTCTTGCCCACGCTGGCTGCTCTCCTAGGTTAGACCTGCTGCCTGGTAGGGAGTGTGCAGCGCAGACCTTCCGTGTCCCTCCCTTGCCTTCCCCACCCGCTTTCTTCTGTCACCTCCTCTCCTCCCACCCCCAAGTAACATGGTTCAGATCTGCATACAAATCCCATAACTGGATCAGTCTCCCCCACACCTGCAGCTCACTTCCCTGGTCTCAAGGTCAGTGTAGTTGCATGGCTTTCTGTGTTCAGTTTACTTTCCAAAAGTCTAAATAAAGTGATTGCTGTGTTCTCCGATCCGTTATGTATTTGACATGAAACTCTTAGTCATTTGTGGGACCTTCTTTATTTTTATCCAATAAATAAAGCAGAAGCAGCTGGGAAAGCATACTTGGCCTCACCTGGGCAAGCTTGCCACCTGAGAAGGCGTGTCCTGCAGACAGGCTGGCTGGCTTCCTGTGGGGCGGCATCGTTTATGTGTTTCCACCAGCCCTGTTAAAGGATTTCTTCCCTTTGACATTCACCATCACTCAGAGTTTAAGAAGAGGTCAAGTGTTTTTTGGGGGAAACCTAAACATGTAGGGTTTTCAGCAGGAAGGTCTGGGTGTGCTTTCCATGGGAAGCCTGGAGCGGGCCTCGGGGCTGGCTGTGGCGCTCAGGCGGGTGCTGGGTGATCTTCGCTCTTCGGGACAGGTCGCGCCCCTTCCCCTGCCAGTGACGGAGTGCTCCGCGAGCACCTGTTACTGAACTAAACCTGATTTGATTTCTTGGGAGGTTTGATTTAAATGCATTTGTCTAAGACTTGAAGGAGGTCAGAGGTGGCAGGTCGCTTCTGCCAGTCTTGTCGCTGTGAACCTGTAACTGCTGGCCCGCCTACCTGCTTCTGTTTTGGTTCCCTTGTTAGAAAGAATCAGAATGACCCTTCCCCCGCCCCCCGGGGAGCAGGGGCAAGTCGACTGCTTCCAAAGCAGGCTCGGCACCAGACTGGGCATCGGCTGGGTTGGCCGCTGGTCGTGGGACAAGCGCAGGAAGCCCGCGGGGGCAGCTGTGCCAGCTGAGAGCCGAGGAGGGTTGGCTCCAGGACAGGCGACGAGCTGCCCGTCGGGGGAGGTGGGACGGACGCCAGCCCTGGAGCAGACGGTTCTGTCTCCTCCGCCTGCACACATCCTCCTTATACTCATTTCAGTTTGCTCCGTTTTGCTCTGCTGCACAGTATTTACTACACCCCTTAACCCACTAAACTGGCAAATTTATTTTTCTGTTTGTTTTGTTTTTAATTGTCATTACATTTTCACTTAACAATTTGTTTCACTTCCCTTGTGTTTTTTTCTCTTAAGTGACATTAACCAAAACACTAGTGCTCCTGAAAGAGCAAGGGAGGCGGCTTCTTCTGCCGTGGGCACCGCTCACTCGGAGCCCGTGCAATGCGGTCTGATGGTGACAGTCTAATGGGGGACCGCCAGCGCTCCCCTTGCTTTCTGGCAAGAGGCTCACTTTACAATAAGTAACATAAAGTTAAGATTTGCCAGGATTCCAACATAGATTAATTGGACCTTTTTGGACAGGAAAGTAAATTCAGAAATTGATGAATTGAGATCAAGACATTTCAAACCTCCTTTAGGAGGTTTCATCATTATTATTTGTTTTAAACTACTAGGAGCTTGAAGTGTAGATGTGATGGGCATCGTGCAGCGTTCCTGGCCTGTGAGCAGTGCTCCTGGGAGGGCCCACGCGTGCTCTGGAGTGTGTGCGTGCACCCAGGCCCCTCAGGCGACTGCGGAGGGTGATGCAGGAGGAGCAGGCCTGGCTGTGGGAACAGTGCAGCTTCGGAGTGGGTTGGAATGTTTTAATGTTTTAATGTTTGCCTTTTTCATTGTATTAATAAAATTGAAATTTGCATTGCAGACTCAATCCGCTAGTAGCACACTCCAGAAACACAAATCCTCCTCCTCCTTTACACCTTTTATAGACCCCCGATTACTGCAGATCTCTCCATCTAGTGGGACAACAGTGACTTCTGTGGGTAAGTAAAGTAGCAGCAAGCAAGCAACTGACACACACGACGTGGCCTTTGTGTTGCTCTCGGGTGCCTCGGACATACCCCTCCCGCTTGCATTGCCTTATTTGCAATGAGCTGCATAGTTGATTTCCTTTTTCCATATTCATCTCCCACGAACTTCTTTTCCTGGACAAAGACTCAGTTATGGCCACGAATATTTCCTCGGTGAGGGGGCGGGAGGCAGGCACAGCGTTGGCGTGTGCAGAAAATAATTCCAAGTGTACTGTGTTTCAGTGGGATTTTCCTGTGATGGAATGAGACCGGAAGCCATAAGGCAAGATCCTACCCGGAAGGGCTCAGTGGTCAATGTGAATCCCACCAACACTAGGCCACAGAGCGACACCCCAGAGATCCGCAAATACAAGAAGAGGTTTAACTCTGAGATCCTGTGTGCTGCCTTGTGGGGTAGGTAGCCTCCTGCCATGCTGGCTCTTGCATTGCGGTTCTGAATGGTAGCCTGGTCTTTTAGGGAAGGGCAGTGGTGTCGTTTGGGGATTTCTTGAAGAGCTGCTCAGGACGAGACGGCAGGTGCCTGTGGTCCCATCCCTGTGGCTTCCGGGCAGCGGGCGGTGCTGGGCTCGCGGCCAGCTGTCCAGCCACCAGGTATTGGGAAGAACGGCTCATCTCCGTTTCTTCATGGAAAGAAGCAAAGTGAAAGACAGGAAGACGCTGTGTTTGGTTCATATTTGTGGGGAAAATGGAGAAATTTGTCGAATTCTTTTCTTTAGGTGTTTCATTTGAGCTTGTTTTCCTTGCTGTCTGTGCTGTGGACCTGACGCTTTAGAAGCAGGTGCCACTGGCAGGGCCGCTGGCTGTGGGGGCGCCTTCCCCGACCCCTGCAGTGTCGGTGACCGCATGCAGACCGGCCTCGGGGAGGGGCCGTGCACAGACTCTGCCCCACACTCTCTACTGCCCTCTGCCGTCCACTCTGCCCTTCCTCACTGCTCTGCTCCCAGCTCCTCACTGTGTGTGTTCTCCTCCCCTGAACGCCAGCTCTGCTGTCTGTGACAGGAACCCTGCTTCTACTCGGGAAAGTGTCTTACTCCCTGGACACTGCAAGTACGTGCCTGGGACACAGTTCATTCATGGTGGGGTCCAGCACATTCTCCTCATGCGGGTTCCTGGAGTGTCATCTGCATTCTCCACAGGGGCTGGGCCCGCTCTCCTCACCCTGCCCCCAGCGATTAAGGCTGCCATGAAGCCCCCACATTCACCACTGACCCTCAAGGGGTCCCTCGTCCTGTCTGTGAAGAAGGGCCCTGCATTTGATAACCTTCCTCCCCGCCCAGCTCCTCTCTCACACCTGCTCAGCCTCCTCCGGGGTCTGGAGGGCTTATCTCTTCCGCCTGTTGAAGACACACCTGCTTTCTCTCTTATTCCTTGAGATCTGGACTTTGGTCCTTGTCACTACTGAGTGTTTTAAAGCCTCTAATGATCATAAGAACGTTTCTTTAGTAGCTGCCAGGTAAAGGAAACAAGCCATTCGGGGGTAATGGGGCTCAGGTGACCGCAGCCGAGGGCGTCGGCACCCACGGCTCTGAGTGCCGAGGCCACTCCGGGGCTGGGCTATCACCTCTGCTCCTAGCACAGGCCATTGGGGCGTTCACGTCATCAAAAAGGATTATGTTACGTCCAGTGCAAAAGTGTTAAATATGTTAACTTTTAGAAATTGACATTGTTTTTATCTATAATGCTTCTACACTGACTTTATATTCCTCTAACGTCCCGCCAAGTGCTGGGCCCCATTCTGTGTGCCGTTAACTTATTTTTTTTTTTTTTTATGAAATCCTTATTTTTCCTAACTAACTTCTTCGATACCTCTGAGAAAAATAGGAGTGACTTGAGCCAATGTTTTTAAAAATGAAGTGGGACTTTCATTTATCGCTGAGTGAAAAGAAAAGCCTGGGACGTGCCTTAGAGTGGAAACGTGCCTACGAGCCGGTGTGTTGGAGTTGCTCAGTGGCTGGGTCAGCAGGGAGGGTTTCCTTAACCTGCAGTGATGGCTGCTGTGACTGAAGTTCAAGTCGGCCTCGTAGAGACGCGGGCCGAAGAGCCCAAGCACCTGTGCGAGGTGGACTCGGAATGTTTCTCTGCAGCAGAAATCACAGCATTTCTGTCCTGCTGACCATTGTCGGATGCCTTCGCTTTTTTGTACCTTCAGGGAAAAGGCTGGAGGATAAATTGCTGCATATTTATTATGTTTTTTAATAAGGCAGTCTTCCCCTTCACATCCAGGATTATTTTAACACATTTTTTTACGTGATTGTTTCCATCCTTACATTCAGAATGAACTAGAGGCCCAATGCATGAAATTTGCACACAGGTAGGGTCCCTAGGCCTGGCTGGTGATCAGGGCCGATTGGGGCCTTCCGGCTGCCGGCTGGGGCCTCACTTCCCTGGCTGCAGGCTGCCAGCCTGGGCCTTCCTTCGTTCTGCACCACCCCCTGGTGGTCAGCGCACGTCATAGCGAGCAGTCGAACTCCCGGTCTCCCAGTCCAACTCCTGAGAAGACACTTTGCATATTAGCCTTTTCTATATATAGATTATCTGCAGCTAACTGTATATTATTGCACTTACCATGGAATTTAAAGGAATTTAAATCACGTGTTATGCAGCTCTTAGCCACTCTCCCAGCAGCCTACGCCAGGTTCCTCTGACTGCGCTCACAGTTCCTAGCACCGCGCGCCTCTGAACAGTTAGCAGACGTTTAGTTACGCCCAGCAGCCAGAGGCTTAAAGTGTATTTATGGGAAGTCATTGCAGCATGTGAGCTCACTGTCTCCTAGGCCCCTCGTCTCCCAGGGGTGGTCTCCCAGTGACTGGCGTGTCCCTTTGGCGCTGGCTCTCAGCACTTGGCGCAGTGCTGGGAAGTGTGTGCTGGTGACGTGGAAGGTGGGTGCGAGGGCCAACCCAGCTGCAGTTCTGTGTGTGTGAAAAGATGTTTCAGCGTTATCTTTTATTTCATTATTTTTTCTTACTGTAAAATTTTGATTGCTATTTGAACACTATTTTTGGAAACCACAAATGATAGCTTTCACAAGGCTCATGTTTTGGGTGGTTATTACCAGATCTTGGATGTAGATCAGTGGTTCTCAACCTTCTGGCCCTTTAAATACAGTTCCTCATGTTGTGACTCAACCATAAAATTATTTTCGTTGCTACTTCGTAACTGTAATGTTGCTACTGTTATGAATCTTAATGTAAATATCTGATATGCAGGATGGTCTTAGGCGACCCCTGTGAAAGGTTCGTTCGACCGCCAAAGGGGTTGCGACCCACAGGTTGAGAACCACTGATGTAGATGCTTTTAGGTACTTGATATTGAAGGTTGACCAGGAAAATGCTGGAATATTGTGAAATGAAGTGAAACCTTTGGAACGGACCTGTCCGACGGCAGTTCTGTCGGTTAGTGTTTTGTTTTATCTGCTGCAAATATTTTTAAAGCTGCTTAGAATCACCTCACTTAGGTGGGAAGGGAAACACTAAGAACAACGTCCAAATGAGCTTCACTTTGATTCTCGGCAAAGCAGGCTCCAGGGAGCGGAGCAGGCCGTCCCGTCTCCTGTGGTAACCTGTGCTAGGTGGACGGCAGTTCCTGCTGGGAGGGTGAGCAGACAGAGAGCCGGGAGCCTGCTGGGAGGGTGAGCAGACAGAGAGCCTGGAGCCTGCTGGGAGGGTGAGCAGACAGGGAGCCGGGAGCCTGCTGGGAGGGTGAGCAGGGAGCTGGGAGCCTGCTGGGAGGGTGAGCAGGGAGCTGGGAGCCTGCTGGGAGGGTGAGCAGGGAGCTGGGAGCCTGCTGGGAGGGTGAGCAGGGAGCTGGGAGCCTGCTGGGAGGGTGAGCAGGGAGCTGGGAGCCTGCTGGGAGGGTGAGCAGGGAGCTGGGAGCCTGCTGGGAGGGTGAGCAGGGAGCTGGGAGCCTGCTGGGAGGGTGAGCAGGGAGCTGGGAGCCTGCTGGGAGGGTGAGCAGGGAGCTGGGAGCCTGCTGGGAGGGTGAGCAGGGAGCTGGGAGCCTGCTGGGAGGGTGAGCAGGGAGCTGGGAGCCTGCTGGGAGGGTGAGCAGGGAGCTGGGAGCCTGCTGGGAGGGTGAGCAGGGAGCTGGGAGCCTGCTGGGAGGGTGAGCAGGGAGCTGGGAGCCTGCTGGGAGGGTGAGCAGGGAGCTGGGAGCCTGCTGGGAGGGTGAGCAGACAGGGAGCCGGGACCCTGCTGGGAGGGTGAGCAGACAGGGAGCCGGGAGCCTGCTGGGAGGGTGAGCAAGGAGCTGGGAGCCTGCTGGGAGGGTGAGCAGGGAGCTGGGAGCCTGCTGGGAGGGTGAGCAGGCAGGGAGCCGGGAGGGAGTATTGTTCATGTGTAGATTTCTGGGAGTCGGGAGCATATACTAGTATGTGTGTGTAACAAAACGTGGACCATGGGGTTCAAGAAATACATACTTTGCTCTGTATCATTTCATCCACCTGAAAATACTTATTGAGCAAATACTTCCTGAAGGCACAGATACCTGAGTTCAGGTCTCAGTGATTTTATTTCCCGGTTTAGGGAATTAGTGCAGACGTGTGTGCCCAGGCTCCTGGCACTATCGGTGACCTCTGCTCCGTGTTCAGAGTCTGTTCAGACCCAGGAAGAAAGGGCACTTGGGGAAGGAAGTGGCTGGGGCAGGTGTGAGTGCTCGCCGAGGCTGTGGCGGAGGCCGTTGAAGTACAGTCTGGCTCGATGAGGACTTGGGAGGGAGGAGTTGGGTGCACAGTCACGGGGAAGGGCAGGGTGCTGTACCCCCCAGGCATCGTCTTGGAGAAAACAGGGAAGGAGGGGATGGAGTTAGGAGTTAGTGGTTCACAGGTGCTGCTCCAGCGGCCACACAGCAAGGGGTGTGTGGAAATGAGGGGGACTGGCTACAG